ATGAAAGTAGGGTCTACGTGGTTTATAAAGTAAGGTATAGTTTCTTCGAATTTTAAATTACTTCTCCAAATGGAAGATTGAGAAATTTCAGCCTGTTTTGGGAGTCAAAGGAGGGTCTAATTTTAACAAATTGTATTGAAATCAGACCCTAATTTACGACTGCTAAATCTAAACAAGCCCTACATTTTCATGCTAAGTAGGGTTTAAATTTCGACTCGGGTAATTTCAGTTTTTGAAGCAAATACTATTTGAGGATCCGATAGTAAAAATGGTTTAAAATAATAATGGGAGCAAAAACGGGTTAAAATGATTGTGCAATTTCTTGATAAATTAATTATTATTAATACTTAAAAAATGTTAACAATAGTAAAAAAGTCTTATTTTATTATAATTAATTTCTCTAATTAATATAGTATATAATAAACATATGGGTAAATTCATCAATCATTTTAATCCGTTTTTGCTCCCATTATTATTATAAATCATTTTTACTATCAGCCTCTCATTTAATTGACTCAACTAAAAATTATTCGATAGAAGTAAATTTAAGAAATTATTTCCAATATAAGCATTAATATAGTTTCTTTTAAAATCTGTCAAGAATTAATAGTTAAAAAAATATTTATTATTGACGAGATTTTTTAATATTCCATAAAATGCCATTATAAGATAGTAAAAGAAAGTGTGTGTACACCCGGATGAAAAAGGCTCATTTTGGCACTGTTGGACTTGTCTGTATAAGCATCTATATTGTTTACTAAATTTCGAAGAATTTTAGCAATTTTAGATCTTTCTAAATGAAAAATTCGCGAAGTTAAAGCAATACAAAGTTAGAAATGTCAAAAAACTGATTTAGAGAAAAATGGGTTTTAAGTTCAAATCTACCATTATAGTTTCTATGTTAATTAAAAATAAGATTATTAATTGATTTAATTATGTGTCACAAATAATTACACTTTCTGCAAAACACTGTAACTAATGCACTTATACCCTATGTTTAATTATTTTCAGAATGTCTGGGAAGCGTTTAAGAGCCGTGGATGGAGAGAATGAAGTTCCTGCAAAGTTAAGGAAAATAAATTCATCGATTCTTATAGAATGTGAAACTCTTCTCCAATTAACAGAAGATGCCTCAAGTCTAGTGCAATTATTGAAAAACGATATCAACAGGACTTCATTCATAATCGGATGGAAGGAAATGTGTGAAAAAAATCTCAAAACGTTAAGGAGTCTACTGAATGACCTGCACTGTTCTTTTAATAGAGAGAGATGTTTGAATCTGATTGAACAATTCGTTCGTCTTCATGCCAAGTTCGAGTTTCCAATAAAATATGAAGCTGGAGTTTTTGAAACTCAGGCAAATATTGACACAGTGGAGGAAAAAGGCATTACGGATCGTGTTCGCTGGACCATCCAGGAAAACGCTTTCAACCATCGTCTTCAAACGAGTGTCATTATCAACCTGGTACATTTAGATATAAGTGCTTTTTTGGACGACGCGAGTATACTTTTTGAGGAATACATCATTAATGTATTAAAAAAACATAGTCCACTGAAAGTGTATGCTGTTTTGGGTGCTAAATTCAGGAAATTTATCAACGACGAAGGGAAAGTTGAATCCAAATATTTTAGTTTGAGGAGTGAAGAAATTTTCCTAACAACTGATTTGCTTGATTGGTTTTACAATAATGTTAAAAAGCCCATATTGCAGCAAGTTGAGGAGCTTGCAAAAAAAGAATCTCAATTGACATTACATTCTATTACAAAATTGGAGATTAACATTAATGAGTATAATCCTATTCATGTTGGTTCCTACATCGATTTACCAAATCAAATTAAAATGAAGAACGCATGTGTTAATGTTCATAATACTGACAAAAAGTGTTTTAAATGGGCAGTATTATCAGCTTTGCACAAAACAGATAAGCCACAGAGTGTCAATAAATACTACAAGTATACAAATGAATTAAACTTTAATGATATAAATTTTCCTGTCGCATTAAAGGACATTGTGAAATTCGAGAAACAAAATAATATTTCGATCAATGTTTATGGACTTCGCTTAAAGCGTGATGAGTATATCACTGTTCCATTGCACTTGACAACAGAGAAAAAACTCAAGCACGTGAATTTGTTAAAAATCGAAAGTCATTACGTGAATGAGGCTGATAGTGATAATGAAAGTGCTACTGAAGATATATCATCAAATTATCATTACGTTTGGATCAAAAATTTAGATAGGCTTGTTGATTTTCAACACTCAGAGAATAAGGAGAAAAAATATGTCTGTGATAGATGTCTTCAATACTTTCTCAAGGAGGAGAGGTTTGCTAGGCATATAGAGGATTGTCAAACTTTCAATGAGTGTCAAATCAACCTTCCCAAACCTGGACAAAATTTCATCTCTTTCAAAAATTATGGAAATAAAGAAAAAGTTCTATTTGTTGTCTACGCCGATTATGAGTGTCTTGTGAATCCTGTTGCAGATGATATAAATAATAATACTAAAGTTATTCATCAATATGAAATGTTTAGCATTGGATATTACGTGAAGTGCAGCTATGATGACTCGTTATCCGGATACCATTCCTGTCCTGAGGGAGCAGATCCTGTCAAGTGGTTTGCCCAGGAGTTACAAAAATTGGCTGAAAATGTGGATGTAATTATCAAAAACCCTGTTCCAATGAATAATTTGACACGAAAGGAAATTAAGGCCTTTGCTGCGTCAACAATCTGTCATATTTGTGAGGAGCAAATTAAATCGTATGAGAAAAAAGTTCGAGATTATTCACAGCTAACGGGTAAATATCGCGGTCCAGCGCATGAAGAATGTAATTTAAGTTATCAAGATTCAAGGACGATACCTGTTGTGTTTCACAATTTAAGTGAGTATAATGCTAATTTCATAATTAAAGATATTTGCTTAGAATTTAAAGGAAAAATTGATCTTTTACCGATAAATGAAGAAAAGTACATTTCTTTTACTAAGCATGTTTTTACATGTCAAATAAAATATCGATTTATCGACTCCTATACATTCATGGCATCAACTTTAGAGGAATTAGCATCATACCTTCCAAAGTATAAAATTGTCAATCAAGTATTTTCTAATCTTACTGCAAATAACATTGTTTTACTTACACGTAAGGGGGTTATACCGCATGAGTATTTAGACTCTCGAGAAAAATTAAAAGAAACAAACTTGCCGGAAAAAGAAAAATTTTATAACACACTGAATGATAGTACCGTTTCTGATGAAGATTACTTGCATGCCCAACGTGTTTGGTCCACTTTTAATTGTTCAAATATCGGTGAATATGTAAATTTATACGTGAAAACAAACGTGTTGCTGTTGTCAGATATCTTTGAAAATTTCAGAGATATATGTTTACAAGCTTACAAACTTGATCCTGCTCACTATTATACCACACCGGATTTAACGTGGGACGCTATGTTAAAATTTATCAATATAAGTTTAGAATTGCTTACAGACATAGATAAGTTAATGTTTTTTGAACGCGGTTTAAGAGGGGGTATAAGCCAATGTAGCAATCGATATGCAAGCGCTAATAACCCTTTTATGGAAAATTTTAACGAGAATGAGGAAGTTAAGTATATTATGAATTATAATGCAAACAATTTGTATGGTTGGGGTAGCGCTCAACCACTCCCTTATGGTGGATTTGAGTGGGTTGAAGTTACAGACGATTTTGATTTTAACATACCAGATGACTCACCTTTTGGCTATATTCTAGAAGTAGACTTGGATTATCCAAAAGAATTGCACGACAGTCACAGTGATCTTCCATTTTGCTCAGATCACTCAAATCCACCATCAAAATCAAAGCAAGCAAGACTTTTGACTACTCTGAAGCCTAAGCGCAAGTACATTATTCATTATAGAGTATTAAATCAGGTTCTTGCGAATGGACTTGAGTTGGTAAAAATTCACAGAATCATCAAATTTAAACAGACTATGTGGCTTAAGCCGTATATTGATTTCAATACTTTAATGAGACTTAACGCAAGAAATGAATTTGAAAAGAACCTGTTTAAGCTCATGAACAACGCTGTTTACGATAAATTGATGGAAAATGTACGCCAGCAGGTTGACGTAAAACTTGTAAAAGAATGGGGTGGAAATAGTGTAGCTGAGGCTTACATATCGAAACCAAATTTTCATAGCCGATTGATTTTAAGTGAAAATCTGTTAGCGATTAAACTGAAAAAAACAGAAATTTTTTTCGACAATCCAGTGTATATTGGTTTTGCAATTCTTGACTTATCAAAGGCCCTTCTTTACGACTTTCATTATAAATACATGTTAAAAAAATATGGCGAAAATTGTAAGTTAATGTATACAGATACTGATAGTTTAATCTACGAAGTAAAGTGTGCCGACATTTATGCGGATATGAAGGAGGATATTCATATGTTTGATACGTCTGATTATCCCAAAGATAATGCTTATAATATTCCGCAAGCCAACAACAAGGGACTTGGACTCATAAAAGATGAGTGCAGTGGTAAAATAATCACAGAATTTGTTGGCTTGCGGAGTAAAATGTACAGCATTCGGGTTAATGGTGAAGATTGTACGGAAAAAACTAAAGATGTAAAAAGCGCAATTAAGAAAAACATTTACTTTAACGATTATATCGATTGTCTACAGAATTTTTCGATTCAAAAGAGGTCACCTTTGCACCAAATTAAAAATGTAAAACTAGCTTTAAGTCCAACTGACGACAAGCGTTACTTACTACCCGAAAGTAGTGACACTCTTGCTTGGGGACATTACAAAATAAAGGAAATTGATTAAGTGTGTAGGTGTATAATTTCTAAATATGTGCATATATATATACATAATTATATTAAATAATCTAAAAGTTTTACTAAATACAATAAATTTATTTATTTACTACCTTATAACACAGACAGAACCATTCTTACAAGAATTTATATCTCGAGAATACAATAAGTTCCCACGGGGGGTTTTTGAAGTCACTGATTTTGAATCCAATGTATGTTTTTCGGAAATAAATATTTTTATTACAATTAAATAGAATTGTCAAACTTTAACAGATTTAACAAATAATGACAATTTTCTTTATAAAAAATACGTGAACACTATTCTTTCTTGTATAAATATCCAAGTGTATTTTGTATTAATTTCAAGGCTAGCCCTAATGTCCAACTTAATTGGTGATCAGAGATTGAGGCATGAATCTGAAATTATAAAATTTACATTTGATTATAAATTCTATGTTAATTGATTATTTATTACTTTATTTACAGTTAATTTTTGTCGTAATTTTTTTTAAAAATGAAAAAATAAAACAGGTATACGATTTTTAATCAGCATTTTAAAGAAACCTATGAAACTTACGTTAAGTTTGGTTTCCGGCTTGAGACCAAATCCAGTTGTCAACAAGGAGTAAATATAAATTAAATCCAAGCATCTATATGGATTATTCTTTGTCATGTTTTTACAAATATTTAGAGCTGCTTCACGAATATTTGTAACTGTGATTATTCCACCATTTCGTGGGTCTATTAATCCAGTCTGCAAAATTATTTTTTTCTGTTTTTAAAGTCTATGTTCAAATTTTATCTACAAAACTTGTAAATAAAAAAAAAACAAGCAACTACAATAAATAAATTATTAAAATAGAAATAATCTTACGTCATAGGTTTTGTAATAAAAGCCCGAAAAGGCATAAATGTCTTGTTTATTCAATCCCACTGGTTTATTTTCAATTTTACTCGTTAATTTCTTAACTAAATTTAAGCAATCTTGAAAATTAATATTTGAACCTTTGTTCTTTTCGTCTTCGGTAATATTTTGGTTAATTTCCGAAGAATTTTCTCTTTGCCCCATTATTTGATATTCTTTGTCATTAAACGTCCACGTCGTGTTAGTTGATGGGGAAATGCATTTCGAGTGTACCTCGATAACTCCATATTCATTTGTCATGGCAAATGGTGGTATCAAAATTGCCTTTCTCGCAGCCATAAGTCCGAAACCTAAATAACTTTCAGTGAAAATAGTCATATTTTGATTAAATGCTTGCAGATTAGTAATAACGGAGTGATTTAAGTCATTCCTATCTTCCTCGTCAAGACGATAGGTCACTTGTGTTGATCCTCCGCCAAGATCAATTGCCGCAACTGTACTTTGCGTACTGTTTTTTTCAAATCGGCCCAGAAGAAAATTAACAGTGAACCATGAGAAAATACCTTCGTCAGAGCCTTCCATTAGTGAAACGGATTCATCGTTCAATTGAAAACCAGAAGAATTAAGAAACTCTCTGGTCACCTCTAAAATATGTTCTGCCTTGTCTCTGGGAAGAGATCGAAGACCTGCCGTTGCTTTCAAATAAATTGGAGTGTCTATCCATTCAGATTGTGGAATAGTGGGTTTTGTTTTATTAAGAAGTATTTCTAGAATTTTCATCCCCTCATCTGGATTATTAGCGAATGAACTCAAACCTGGTCTTTTGTGATTATACGCTTCCTTGTCCAAAATTAAACTACCATCTTCACTCGAAGTATGAAAGTGAAAAGCAAAAAATCGTGTTCCAGTGGATCCGGCGTCAACAATTACGACATAAAAGGGTTTCTCTGAATCCGGAGATAATCCTGCGCTGCCAATGGCCTCACTGCCGAGATCAGGAGAATCTAAACCATTTGCTTTAGCCACGTAACCAAATAAAATTCCCAGCAATATAAACGTGAAATATCGTCTCATAATAGTTTTTGACATTTTTCTCTGGATTAATGATGAACTAAAACTCGGCATATTGCCATAATCGCCTAATCCCGACTGTAAAAAGACTGTAAAAATTTATAAAAAATTTGTATGTATGTCCCATATATACAAAAATACTAAATCTCTGATTCGGAGTCTATTATTTACTAATACAGAATACAAAAACAGACTGATGATACAGCTCGGTTGGCGTAATCCTACGGCGTGCGATCACGGAGGTTAAGCATCATTGAGTGCGGTTAGTACTTGGATGGGCGACCTAGCTATGTGGGACGCTACAGCCTCTGGTGTTTTTGAGACAAGGACATAATTTATAATAGATATAGATAATTAACATCTGTACATTTTTCGATTAATTATATTTCATATTCGAGTCAACATAAAATGCAAATTTGTATATTTAATGAAGATTTCAAGATAATTCAAAATCCAGTTTCATTTTATATAATATAAAATATTATAATTAAAATAAATTATAATAATAATTATAAATATAATAAATAAAATAATTCTATATACCCGTGTGGAAAAATTTTAGGGCGCTGACCAAGCGCTTAATAGACTGTCTAACGTCTTTCTAGACCCAGGTCAGACGGTCTTGTCGAGCGGCTGTTCAGAATTGAAACGAAACTTCCACGCTATCGTCTAGAATAGACCAGCGTTTCTGGTCTGATCAGCAGTGCTAGTAAATTCTAATCTACGTCTATTCAAAATTTCTCATTATATGTTATGACAACTATTCTTAGAATAATAAAACTTAATTATATTTGAAATAATTTTAATGACTTTTTTTTATATAAAAAGTATTAAAAAATATTTTAACTTTCTGTATTTTTCACTTCAACTTTCTTTAAGCGTAAGGCTTTGTGTCCCTCCCAATCTTTGGCATTGGAGATAGTAGTCTTTTTGTAAAATAAAATTTACTGCAAATCAAAACAGCCGGATGAAACTATCAGTCGTACTCAGCACCAATCTTTAGGCGTCAACCACTAATTAATGAAATTAATAAATAAAAACTTACTAAATTTGCTATTTAGTGGATATTGATTCTCAAATAACAATACTCGATGGTTTTTTAAATCATTAAGTATTACAAAATTTGAAGTAGAGGCATATTGGTAGATGACGCCTAAACATTGATGCTGAGTACGACTGCTAGCTTCAGCCGACTAATCAAAACACATAGATACACATCAAAATCTATTTTTTTCAGTGCACATTTAAAATTAAATTATACAGAAAACAACAACAACATAGCACATTATTATTCACGTAAAACAGAAACCACAACAAATACTATAATTCACAAACAAAATGCATCACACACTGACTGATCTAACGACGCCAAACGACGCGACGCCATTAGGCGCCATGTTACTTAACAGCTGGGCATTCATCGACGCATGCGCATATAACATCCTAGACCAAATCTAGACGGTCTTAATAACACCGTACTAGACGGACATATTTGACTTAGATTTTTTCTAATAAGCCAATCTGTTAAGTCACTGATTCGGGACTTGATGGACCGTCTAGAATTAGACGGACTTGATGATTGCTAATCGGGAAATCATTGGACTCTAGACTGCCACAATATTTTTCCACACGGGTAGGAGGATGAGTGCTGTAATGCGATTCAACATCTTGCATCAAATCAATTGAAGATTTTATTGACTAAGAAGGTTTTCTCAATTTTTAATTTATGAATCTGTTTCTCTTTTTGAATATTGAATTCAAAGATCAAATTAATTTAATTGTCTTTGGTTTCAAATTGATAAAGAACTCTTTGTTTACTATTTACAAATATTGTTAAATTCTAAATTAAAACTTTTTATTAATGTTCATAATTTTTATAATTAAAAGTGCAGTTATAATTCTTCAAATATTATAAACGAACATCGCTCTTTATTATTATCCAGCAACGGGGCTGAGTTAGCTAAAATTTATTCCGGAAGAATATTTAATCTTATAATTTTGGGTTTATATATTGTATTTTGCCTTAAAATACCAAATTTAGTTTTCTAATTTAATTATAAATTTGGATTTAACGTATATAATTTATATAGGTACGATTTTTTATGCTAAGGGGAGACTTCGACTTCATTTTTAACTACATCCGCTTAGATGCAAATATATATAGATCAATATTGTAGGGCAATTTGTTAAAGTATGCGTAAATCAGGTAATTTATTTAATAAAACATCTTTGTTTATTTAGAATAGAATAGTTATAGAGTTAATAAATTAAAATTTCAAAATAAAACAATAACTATAGGTTTATTTCACGTAAAAAACATGGAAAAAATACACACTTAAAATTTAGCCCCACCAATTATTTAACGTTTAGCCTCAGAGTGCATCTTTGGCTTTAACAATAACTATACAAAATCTGACTAAAATATTTATCAAAACTACCTTTAGGTACATCTTCAGGGGACCCAAATTAGAATAAATCTAAAAAATATACTTAAAAGTTGAAATTTTCTTTGACTTAAAAATTTACATATATAGTGTCAAAACACACTTTACACTATGGACACGACAAAAATAAACAGAATGTCACATAACTACGGACATATATTTAGAGTGATAAGAAGACCATTCAATAGTCAAAACTGCAATGTTCTAACTATTTCCGTTCGAAAGATAATGAATTTTATCTGCTTTGACTGTTTAACATTTAGCCCCAGTCTCCCCTACTGAATTAAGAAAAATGTAAATCCAGAAAAGGTCAGAATATTTTCTGACCATTGATTTTCTCTCAAGAAATGACTATAAAAATAATTTTAATATTTTATGGATGATCTAAATTATTTTCATGTTATAGTTAAAAATGTAGTCGAAGTATCCCCTTAAACTGCAGATTATATTAAGTTACAATCTTTACAATAAAACTTGAAAAGTGTTAATAAACAAATCAGGATCAAAATCTGACCATCCATTTCTCTCAGTGTACTGATTTTTATCTCAGATTCATAACATTTGAAATAATGGTTTCTAAGGAAAAATTCTGAAGTCTAATTCGTAATCAACGACCCTGAAAACCCCTGAGTAATAAATTTTAAGCAATTTTAATTAATTTTTGATTTTCAAAATCTAAAGCAAAATTTGTTAATTAACTACCTCAAATACAATGGTATACTCGCTTGTGTAAATTTTAGTTTTTCGAAAAGTTTTGACATCTTGGGCCCTCTTCTGAGATTAAATTTTGACCTTCATGAAAAAAAGAATAGGATTTATTTTTGGTGAGTTTGTCAAATACATATTGAAGTGTAGAAAAAAAAATTTTTATTTAAAATTTTATAACAAAATGGCGGCGATAAGGAAGTATTTTTAAGAAAAAAACGGAGTAATGTAATTAAATATAATGACGGTAAAAAAAAAATTAAAACATTTTAATATGTTCAAAAATTGTAATTATTGAAATTTATTATTGCTTAGACAATAATTAATGTACAAAATTGGAGAGGTGTTAAAAAAATAAGTATATATTTACATCTAGAGAAATGTTTATTTATATAAATATGTTTATATTTTATAAACCAAATATAATATTATTAATTATATGAATTCATATATCGGAATATAACATTTTTGTCTTAATTTTTTTCTCTTGGAAAGCTAATTTTAAAATAAAAATTGTAATTATAATACGAATTTTTAAAATTATTTTATTAAAAAGAATTTTTGTATAAAGATATTTACAATTGCAGAGACTTTTATTTAAAGAAACTTTTTATTACGTCAACTAATAAAAAGATTTTTTTAATTTACTTTTCGTGAACAAAATATTATAAATGTTTTTTGAAGTATAAAATTTACTTGTAAAAAGAATATTTATTAAACATTTACGAATTCAATTTTTAATTTTCTGTTGATACAGAATGATAAACTGGTTTGGTAGAGTTTGTGTATTAAAAAATATTTCTATTACTAAATAATATTTCTATTTCCTAAACATAGTTTACAAAATTTTTTTAATTGAATACTTTACGAAATTTTTTAAAAACCCCAGTAACACGTAATATTACAGCAATTATGAGAACAGTGCCTTAACATCACCAATATTGCCTCAATGTTGTTGCGATGTTACTGGAATACTGCTTGAATGTTCCCAACATTACGTGCTCCTGGGGAAGAATTTTATACAGAACAACAAACAATTCAACTAATCTAATAATATTTTCAATTTCTAAATTTAATAATTTTTTAATTATATTTTATATTTTATATTTTTAATAATATTATTTTTGTTCCGTCCAATGCGTCACTGAGTCTTTTTGGAAGATATAATCTTGAAGACTAATCGTGCTATGTATATCATATAACATATATATATATAAATATAATAATAATAATATATTAATATATTATATTATCATTAATATTTTTTGACTCATTGTTTTAAGATTTTTAAGGTTAATTGTATTAATCAATGTATAGAATGAAGCCACAACATCTTAAATTATTTTTAAAATTGATAAATTTTTGATGTAGTACAGGTAATTTTATGCGGAGAATTTTATTCTTTAATAATTTTAAATTAATAAATATTTTTAAAAATTAAATAAGGTTTCTGAATTTTGTATTTTTAAATTACACAAATTTCTAAAGATTTGTTGTTAACAATATTATTTATTAATACCTTACATTTTAAAAAATAAATTATTTGTGACCGCGTCTGAGAAAAGAGGGCTTATGAAGGAAAAATCAAATTTGGGGTTGCAATACGATTATTTTTTAGAGAAAAATATGGTCAGAAGCCTCTTTTTCTCAGACGAAATCTCAAATATTACATATTGATACATTACCATTTTTTTTAATTAATAAAAAAAATAGAACGGAAACAATACATCACAAGAAAGTTTCTTGTTGCACCCACTAATGCAATGTTTAACAATTTTAATAGCAAAAATTGAAATCCACATTAATATATGGAATCTAAAATTGAAGATGGATGTT